ATCTCGGTACACCCAATATCGCTCGCGCGGCTGCATTCTAGACTAGCTGTAGTCTCCGAACGCTTTTCAAGGGTAGCCCCATGTAGAGCCCAGATAAACAGCTAGGCAGAGATTATTTATTAGTAGGGCTATCATATCTGCGTTGAAAACTCTGGGCGATCACTAGATTGTTTCCTGTGATTGTATGGTTTTTATATTGCTTGCAGGTGTTGTGGCACGCTAGCGGCCAGCAGAGCTGGAAGCAGATTCGGACAGTGAGGAGGTTGGGGAGGAACATGGGCCAGTCCTGGAGTCTGGGGAAGGCTCTGATGAGGGCTCTGCGTCGGAGGCAGAGATGGGGTCAGGGCCGTCTGACAGTTATCAGCTGCTTTCAGAGTCAGACATGAGGCAGACGAACAGCTGGAGCATGTTCCCGGTGTGTGCATGTGCAGAGCTACCAGACAAAGAAAGGGGCTAAGGAACAAGGGTCGACTTGGGAGTAAAATCACAGGTGGACGGTGAATGGCCCCTCCCATAGAGAATAAAAGAGGAGAGAAAGGGGAGAGGTGTTTGCAGGAGACAATTAGTTCATTCCTGCGTTCTTGCCATGTATTGTGGAGTCTGAAAGATATCAGCCTGGCCACTCTCCAAGCCTAATAAAGGTCGGACTATCTTGAAAGACTGTGAACTATCTTGAAAGACCATGGGCCGGAACTTTGCTGGAGAGGAATTCACTGTAAATTAAATAAAAGGGGTTTATCGGGACGGGGACTCGACTTCATGCTGCTGGGGAAACCTAGGTCAGAACAGCAGGTCTCCAGCAGGCTATACGAAGCTAATGATATAAAAATAATTTAAATAATGTCTCATTGAACAACAGCAGGTTGACTTAATCTACTCATTTCTCTTTGGCACAGCATGGACAAAATGATGACTCAGCCTTCCTTTAATTAACCCACTTCATGGTGGGGTGAGGTTTCCCATTCATAGATCTAGAGCTATGGCAAGGCTAAACCTGACTAACTCCCAGCCACAAACTTACAAGTGTGAGAGAAATTAAATGACCTTTTGATAATGTTTAGAATTTCTTTTCCTTATTAGGACCTGAATATCTGAAGAGGAGGCTACTCCAGGAACTCATGGAAAATGAGGAGAATGTGGAGCATATACAAGAAACACCCCCTGTTGAAGAGACATCTCCAGCAACACCTCCAGAAAGCCCTCAAGGTGATGAGCAGGAGTTTATGAAACCTAAGGAGAGCCCAGCTCCAACTCCATCACCATCTGGCACACCACCCGAGGCCAAGCGTGCTAAGCAGGGTTCTCAGAAAGATGGTTTTCTCAGCCCTGGGAACTGGAATGGAGATCATACCAAGAATGGGAATTATACAGGAAGTAGACCCAACACATCTTCTAGTGTTCTACTGGCACCAGCGGAGAAGTCAGGAAGTAACATCAGATCTGCTTCTCAGAGCCCCAGCCATCCTAGCCATATGAAGATTGCTACTGATAGGATGGAGATCAAGCCTCTTGAAAGGATACAGAAAGAAGGTGAAGTTAAATTATTTGAGGGGTATCACAGTTATGCTGTTCGGACCTCTCCAGTTACTCCCCCGTTGGATAATGAAGAAGAATTCTCGGACTCCACATTTCCTACTATGTCAAAATCCCTGGAGCCAGAATCTGATGTGAAAGCAGTGGATCACAAATTAGAGCTAGAAAAGAGGGAAAGTACACCTGTCACTCACCACGAACCAGGTCACAAAGAGAAAAAAATAATCAAGACAGAATCTAAGCTTGAGCCCAAACAACATCCACCTGAGCCTAAAGTGGAAGAGAAAGTAGAAGCCGTGAGCGAAACCAAGCCTGAAGCCAAGATGGTAGCTAAAACTGAGCCCAAGACTCTGGTGAAAAAAGTTTCTCCACCAGAAGCAGCCACAAAAGAAGTGGTAGAGAAAGAAGAGGTAAATTGGTTTTGTCTTCACAGCATGGATAGTTTTTTATTTCGCAGGTCTGATTATGGAGAGGGGAGTAATAATATGATAGCCATTTTCTAATTTTTCCACTTGCTGCTAATATTTGCGTGAAAATAGGTCAGTGCATGAACATTTTGTCCTTTTTTGGAAAACTGCACTTTATTTATTTATTAACTATATGCTGCCCATCTTGCCTAGGTAAATTGATACTTTGATCTTGGTAAATTGATGAGTTGATCTTGGTTAAAAAATTGTTTCAAAAGTCCAATATTTCAGTGTGACTTGAGTTTCATGAAACTAGTACAACTGAGAATGGTGTTTAAAAACAGTTTGCACCACAACAAATTCCTGCACAACATCTGATGTCCAGGAAAAAGTATCCACAGTACTATACTTAGGATTTCCTGGAAAATTTACCTATGCAAATCTTTTCAGGTTCAAATTTAGTTATGCTGTTTCCAAGGAGCAAAGGTTAATGAAGAGGAGATTATTTAGATTTGAATCCTGCTGTTCCTTCAGGAGCTCGTAATGTTCCCTCTTCCAAACATATCCCATCATGTAGGAGCACTTGAGCTAGGAAGTATTGATCAAGTTCATAGATGCCCAATAAGTTTATGTAGCAACTTACTTCCATTACTTAAGCATACATTACACCAATTTCTTCCCCTAAAGCCAGGTAAGCAACATGGGAAAAACACTCCCCAAGCTATTTAGACTACATTAAATATGTTTCAGTTCAGTACATGTGTTAGCAAGTCCACCAAAGAGGAGTTAGAAGTAGTAGTCACTAATATATGCTAGTCTTCTCTGTATGGCTGGAAGGAGTATAACATTTCCTTTGAGTCAAGTTTAATTCCAGTCAATTTCTTAGACCTATCCATGCAGTGTTCTTGGAAGTCATTTGCCATTTCCTTCTTTAGAAATATCCTTTCCTAATTCCTTTTTTGGGAGAGAGGGTGTCCTTCAAGTCAATCATGATTTCTGGCAACTCCCTGAACAAATCCCTGCAGGTTTTTTTTTGCCAAAATTTTGGAAGTGGTTTTCCATTGCCTCCTTTGTAGAGCTGAAATAGAGGGACTGGTCCACAGACTCCCAGTTGGTTTTACAACTCCCAGCCTCCCAGATTCTAGCTTGGTGCCAATCATTATACCAAACTGCTTCTCTTCCTGCTTCGTACTCTGGCTTGTATCTCTGGAATTCTTGGGAGATTTCCCATCTTTCCCTTTATTCTAGAATTGCATGATCCAGTGCTTCTACTTTTATTTTAGATGTGCAAAAAAAATAAACATACAATATGGTGTACGGTTCATAAATTTAATAGTTAGTGAAAAGCAGAAATCTTTATTATCTCTGGTTGAATTATCATTAAAAGTTACAGTTAATATAAACTTGAAATTAAAAGTAATCCTTGCAGTTATAAAGAGAAGGTAATGCATAGCCCAAGGTTCTTAATCTTGTAATTCTAATGTATGTGAAGTAGGCAGCAATGGATGTTGCTCAAAATGTTGGTGAACTGTAACTCCCAGCACCTGTCACAACTGGACATATTTCCTAGGCTTGGGAGTTATAATTCAACAGGATCATTGTGCATGTACATAGATAGTTATGATTGCTTCATATTTTGAAGGTATCTTCGGTCTAAGTCTTTGTTTTAAACCACAATAGATATTTAATACAATGCTCTTGATTTTTTTCCTCTTAGGGACCTAACACAATAATCATCTGCATGGTCATTTTATTGAACATTGGCCTGTCTATCTTATTTGTACATTTTCTGACATGATGAGATACTGAAACAAGGTAAGAGTACCTAGGGTGGGGTGGAGATTAGAGGTTTTAGGGGATTACTAGGATGGTAGTGGTGGTGATGGTTAGAGGTTTTGTGGATTTTTAATGTTGTAAACTGCATATGAACCACATATGAATTGAGCAGTCATATAAATTTGTTTGGGACGCGGTGGCTCAGTGGCCAAGATGCTGAACTTGTTGATCAGAAAGGTTGACAGTTCAGCGGTTCGAATCCCTAGCGCTGCCTAATGGAGTGAGCTCCCATTACTTGTCCCAGCTTCTGCCAACCTAGCAGTTCGAAAACATGTAAAAATGCAAATAGAAAAATAGGGACCACCTTGGTGGAAAGGTAACAACATTCCATGCTCCTCTGGTGTTTAGTCGTATTGGCCACATGACCACGGAGACTTCTTTGGACAGCGCTGGCTCTTCGGCTTTGAAACGGAGAGGAGCACCGGCCCCTAGAGTCGGGAACAACTAGCACATATGTGCGAGGGGAACCTTTTCCCTATAAATTAGTTTAATAAATAAAGAAGAGTGACAACATTTATTTAGACCCGCCCAAGATTGGTTATATGATGGATGGCTCTTTAAAAGTTTTAAATAAATACAAAACTCTTGTTTTGATTTAAGGCGTAGTATTTTTGATTGCTGTTCCTTCCTATGGCTGGTATAGCTAATGCAGTCTTTTATACATGAATACTATCACTATTTAGGTACTTATTAGCAATAGCAGTTAGACTTATATACCGCTTCATAGGGCTTTCAGCCCTCTCTAAGCGGTTTACAGAGTCAGCATATTGCCCCCAACAACAATCCAGGTCCTCATTTTACCCACTTCGGAAGGATGGAAGGCTGAGTCAATCCTGAGCCGGTGAGATTTGAACAGCCGAACTGCAGAACTGCAGTCAGCTGAAGTAGCCTGCAGTGCTGCATTTAACCACTGCGCCACCTCAGCTCTTATTCTGGGTAGAACTCTCATTTCTTATTTAATTTATTTGTTTGTTATTTGTCTGTTTGTTTATTTCCTTATTAAATTTATATGCCACCCATCTCACTGTCAAGCGACTCTGGGTGACTTATTTTTAATTGTTATATTTATTGTTATAAAAAGCATTGCAAAGAAAATAATTTATCAGCCTATGCAGTACAATTATGTTCATGTTTATTCCAATTCAGCCTCCATTCAGTTCAATGAGGATAGTTTCCAATGAGAACGTCATCAACATATTCACTGACACCAGTCATTTTTAAAACTCAAAACCTGGATCATCTCATTATGTGTCAAAGCAATGGCTGGAGCTTACAATAATTCTTAAATGCACAGAGCTCTGTTTTATGCATTTTTAATAAACGTAGAGCGTTTGTATGATGCAAAAAAAATAAGGGCCATGGTAATTCTAGTTTCTTTACAACATGTAATTTGAAAACATAAAAAAGTCATATGTGACAACAATATTAAAAATTATTTTTAATAATGATCTCACCTCTCTTCTCCAAGGTCTATTAATTACTCAATTTGAGTCTTGTTCATCCATTTTAACTTCTCTGCATATTACCTCTCTATCGTTCTTTATACTGTTTTACCTCCCCTAATAGCCTTCCTTTTAAAATTCTCCTTCACCTTCATATTTTTCTTCTTTTCCATTCTCTATTCCTTCTTTCACTTTTATTTTGCATGTCCTGTTTTCTTGTCTTTCCCCTTCATCACCTTCTCAATTCTCTGGCCTCCACAACTGACTGATCCTTCCATATACTTCCATATACTTTATTCCTATGCTCATTGTGTCTGTCTGTGGAGACTAGTACTATAAGCATTCCAGAATTTATGGAAAAAGTCAAAAAGAAAAGTCGGCCACAGTTTGTATCATTTGATTTCAGTCAGAAAGGAAGAGTGGGGTGTTTGTTTTTCACAATATTCTAACTGAATGTGATGGAATTGTTCTCAGGCCATCGTGGTTTTTTTTAAAATAAGTTAAATAGAAATAAAAATGAATGAGAGAACAGAGAAAGGTTGGAAAGATCAAGCCAAGTCATATATTGGTATTGTCTTCCCCTTCCTGTGAGCTTCTCCTGAACAACTCCTATTCAGTGCTATTCAGGCAAATTTATTTTGTGGATTAGTATGGGAGCAGAGGTGGTATTCAGTGGGTTCTGACCAGTTCTGGAGAACCGGTAGCAGATATTTTGAGTCATTCAGTGAACCGGTAGATACCACCTCAGACTGGCCCCGCTCCCATCTATTCTCTGTCCCAGCTGATCATGAGGAAATGGGGATTTTGCAGTAACCTTCCCCTGCAGTGGTGAGGGAGAGGAGATTTTACAGTACCCTTCCCCTGGAGCTGGGTGGGAATAGAGATTTGGGCAGTATCCTTCCCCTGCCATGCCCACCAAGCCACGCCCAGCAAGCCACGGCCACAGAATCAGTAGTAAAAAATGTTGAATCTCACCACTATATGGGAGTCATACAAACATTGCATTTTTTGAAACTGCAGAGCAACATCTGATACAGCCGTCTGTTTTTCCATAGTCTATTCTATTTTCTACCACAGGATGGCTGCTGATACCATCAAATTATTAACCAGGCAAAAATAAATAAGAATGTCAAAAGGATTGTTACAAATGAAATGATATTAATGGTAATCTGAATGTATAATGCTCAATGACAGCGAAACATTTAGCTATGTTTAATGTGAACCAGTGATGTTAATCCTAAGTTTAAGAATTGATGCACAAAAACTTGTAACCAAATGACATACTTGATGAAATGGAGGAAAGTTGTTCTTCTTTTCCTCTCTTGCTTTGTTTTGTATGTGTTGTTTTGTTTAAAAAGAATAAAAATTTATTTAAAAAAATAAGAATCTGGAAAATAAAAGACAAGCATAGGGAATGGAATGGGAACTATATTGTTTATTATTCAACGATAGGGATTGTTTAAAAGCACAGGTAATAAACCAGAATATTAGCTATTAGTTTTTAATCCTTATGGAAAGCCTATCTTATTCATGGAACTGTCTGCAGTTAATGTTTTCCTAGGGTAGTTTCTCAAATGTTAAACTTTTTTTTTTTAAAAAAATATGAATTATGTTACCTTCCTAATTTTTTAAATTTTATATCTTCACAGAAGTTTATGCTGGTCCAAACAACCATCCTGATCAGAGATAACATCAGCCATTCAGAGCTATGTTAAAAGGAAGAAGCATAGAAGCACCCAGTGAGTGTACTGTGGTCATGAACAATGCTTCTGGCAAACTTTTCTGCTCCAACCATAACGGGAAGAGATCTCAAATTTTACAACTTCTTTTACTCTTCCTTTTGTTTTGAGTCTGCATTGCTTTGAAGATAATTTTGATGAACTACACTGCCACTTGTTGAAAAAACAAGGATTCATCTTAATTGTGGAATGGAAACACAAACTAAAAAAGTCTTTTTTTTGAATTTCACTGTGAAAGCATCAGACTTAGTGGTACAAATCTTCCAATCCCCACATTTCTAACTTGTGCTGCAGCTCTGAATCATGATTAACTTCATGAAGGTGCTGAAGGTGGCCGGGGATGGGGGGCATTCATGCATGCCCCTTGTTGTATTTTGAGCAATTATCCAAGTTCCCTGGGGGGAAAAAAACAGTTTGCTAAAAATCAGTAATATGGTCTTAGTCAAAAAAAAGATAGAATCACTAGGAAAAGTTTAGAACCTAGGGCTTAAAACTTTTTCCTGCCTTGTAAGGGACTCCTCCCGCTCTCCCCAATCCTATATTCTGCATTCTAGAAGCTGTAGCTTTTTGTTCTTTCTTCTTCTTTTAGCTCTATTAGGAACCCAAGGTATTTGGGCATTCAATTTTTCTCTCTTCCCCCACTGTCCAAGCTGATGCTTCTCTCCACCAGCAAAGCAATACATTCATTTCTTTCTCAAACCTTTTCAATCTCAAACTGAGTTTAGGATTTGGATATGAATAATTTTTCAGCCACTTTTGTAGCTAATATAGAAGTGGAGCAAAGCATCATATGATGAAGAACTGACTCAGTTGGAACTATCTGGATATCTAAATGTCTAGCAGGCTTTTGCGGGCTTTTGCAGCTTCTTTTATCTCTGGTGTGTTGTTCCCCATATTTGCTTACACAGATATGTTTTAATATGGCTAGCTGACAGTAGTGGGAGAGGGCCAGGGTAGTAGCTCTTTCTTTGCTTCTAAAAGTTTCCATTTAGATGTGCTCCTTCCTTAGCACTTGTAGCACCTGGGCCAGTAGCAGTTGAGGGACTCCGAGGAGTTGGTATAGCAACTTGTCGACATTGTGTATAAGCCTAAATGGTTGTTTTTGTCAGTCATACTGGGTGTTATTTTCTTTGGAGATTAGTCCTATTAAATATCTTCTCAAAGCAAACGCTTTGAAAGAAGCTCACCAAAGAAGTTGAAGGCTTTAAAGAAAAGACGACTCTCCCAACCACAAGTGTCACAAAGCTTCCAGGATGAACTGCACGCATCATAGAGCTAGCACCACAAATGGAGCATCAGCCAGTGAAGCCAAGGATCCAGAAAGGAGTGGATGGAGAACTGGGACAAGAATGAAATATGGGCAAGCAATCTTCTTGATAACCAATTGGTAACATGTCCCCTAATTAATTCTAGGTATAGTTTCCCCATGCAAACCAAAATGAATACAGCATTAAGAAAAATTGTTGGTTTCACCTGTTTCTAATTCTATTTAAGAAGTCTTATCTTCTAAAACAAGGTCCCTTCCAACTCTGTTGAAGTAAACACTGCAATAAGAAGCTTTTTTTTTTAATTGATTAGCAGATCTCATTCTAGGACATAAGTAAAGTCACAATTTTTAAAAAAATGAAAATAAATCATATCTTCTTTTATGGATTTCAGTGCAAGGATGCTGAAATCTGGTCTTACTGTAAGCAATTCTTTTTGCGATGCTGATTAGCAGCAATTAAACACCATGAAACTTGTTTAGCTTACTAACTATAGGCTGCATTTTAATGTGGCTTGCTATAAATTTTAGTAGATGAAATCTGTGCTCATTTAATAACTATAAGGTGCCTTGATTATTTTTGTTGCTAGCTTTGTTTCTCTCCTTCCCACCCTAAAATTAGACCTGTGGCAAGATCCATTTTATACTCCATCCTTTTCTGTATTATTCAGATGGCTTGTCATTGAAATTTCAGTATGTGAATTGGTCTTTAAAGTGTTGGCTGCTCCCTTTCCCAACTTTCTTTGAGGGGGAAAGAACAAGGATTTTGTTTCCAAAAAGATTTTTAAAAAGTGCCTTATTTAAAACTGACAATGATTTGTTATATGTATATGTATCATGAGAGGAAAATTAATAGGTTACTGTATAAGAGACTGTAATTGTAGGTGCTAAAAGGTGACAGGATTTTAAGTGCAGCAGGTGAATTGTGTTTTCAAACCAGGTGACTTACAACTCATGAATTGCTGAAAATGAATTTGGAAGACAGGAGTGCTGTTCTTGACAGCTTGTTTAATAAATACTCTGCTTTGAAGGAGGAGAAAAACAAGATTTCTAACAATGAACGAGGTATGGCAACGCCACTCAGAAAATTGTGCGAACTATCTTGCCCTTCAAAGGATGGAAATATTTCTTCAAAAATGAAATGATAGCAATATAGGCAGTTTTGAGGCTTTTATTGTTACATTTCCTTTTCATCTGAATATATTCCCTTAAACATAACCAGGCTGTTATTTGCTTTTGAAACCTGACAGCTTCTCCTCTGGCTTTCTAGGTGTACAGTTTAATATGCCAGCAGCTTTACAACAGGGAAAGTGATTTTGTTTGAAAGACATCAATGTCCTTTATTTATCATGAAGTGCAAAATTGAGTCTTTTTGAAAAAATATTAGGGTTATTCCCATCCACCTTTGAATTCTCTTTTGCAGAAATACTGTGTGGTTATTTTCTTCGTTATGTTTTGTTCTCTGCAATGTAATGACAAGCATAAAATAAATACAATTGCTGTCTGTGACATATATAGGGTAGGATCCACAAACTATCCGTCCAGAGGCTGTTGTTTTTTAAAATTATTTTATTTTAGACAGCTGGATCTCTATGCCAAATTGCAAAACTGATTTTGAAATTTGTCCTTTTCAAATGTAATACGGCTGATGATTACAGCACAAAATGCTCTCACTTGGAGTGCAAAATATTTTTGACTGTCCTTGCCATATTTGTTTGTTTGTTTATATATATATATATAAACCTCTTTAAGGATATATATATATATCCTTAAAGAGAATGAGTTTCTAGGTGCTTGTGCATACATTGGTATCCCCTGATTCGCTAGCAACTGCTTTGTTTACATTAGAAGGACACGCCTTCACCAAAGAAATAAATAAGTAATTTAATAGAATCACATATGGCCTTTTGGCTCTCAAACAATGCCAGTTCTTCCTACAGTCCTGCGAACCTTGACTTTTAAGATTGTTCAAAGGATCTTCTCTATTCCTTGTTCCCAATGCCAGCTTGAACAAGATGACCCAAAAAATCCAGAGCCTCCTATGGAAGTCCTTACAGGTGTGAGTTTTTCCATTCGTGCACAAGAGGCCTCTTTTAAGATGAATGGAAAGGTCCTACAGGAAAGAGATTTGCTTCCTACTTCTTACCTCTTCCAAATAACTTCTGGATTGGGACTAATGTGTGCACAAACCCTGTGGAGTTTTACTTCCTCGGGTGAGCAGGAGCAGGTTTACCTCAATTTGCATGCCTTCAAACATAGTTTGATATTCTTAAAATGTTCAGGGCTTTCTAAATGACAGATGTATCATCACCAGAAACATACCTTTTGAAATCACATGTTTTAAAAATAAAAATAAATAAAAATTGACAATTTGTGCAATGCTATCCAAGACCTTTTATTTGCTGTTCTTCTGGATTATGTGCAATAATAAAAGGTTCTTTTGTTCACGTTACCAGCTCTGATTTATTTTAGGTGAAAGCAAGTTTCGTATCTGACATGTTTTAACAAACCAGCGATGTATCAACTGTTCAACTACAAAGTCCAGCCAAAGCTAAACTGTTTTAAGCAACAAGGCTTTAAATGGGGCATGCATTAAATATGTCAAAGGTTCACCCACATCAGTCTTTAAAACAGGGGTCTCCAACCTTGGTAACTTTCAACTCTGGGAATTGAAATCCACTAGGCTTAAAGTTGCCAAGGTTGGAGACCCCTGCTTTAAAACATCTGTTAGATCATCCTCAAGAAATTTTGATTTTGTTGGGTATGTCCGATTGTTACACAATTAATAATAAAAATTGGCTGATCTAAATTGTGACTTAAGCAGTCTTCTTGCAGCAGGGGATGAAGTATACTGATGATACTTAATTAAACATCCCTATTTCAGGCCAAGCAAACAATACGATCAAGATCCTCTCCCAATATTTGTGGGGGACCTAGATGCAAGCTTTGGCTTAACCCTAGCAGGGCTGACTAGGTATAGGATTTAAGGCCCCTTGAATCTGCGTATTTTCCACTCTCACTTCTAGATGGGTAAATAGGTAGAGGTAAAGGTTCCCCTTGCATATATGTGCTAGTTGTTCCTGACTCTAGGGGGTGGTGCTCATCTCTGTTTCAAAGCTGAAGAGCCAGCGCTTCCCGAAGATGTCTCCATGGTCATGTGGCCAGCATGACTAAACGCTGAAGACACATAGAACGCTGTTACCTTCCCACCAAAAGTGGCCTCTATTTTTCTACTTGCATTTTTACGTGCTTTCGAACTGCCAGGTTGGCAGAAGCTGGGACAAGTAACAGGAACTCACTCTGTTACGCGACACTAGGGATTTGAACTGCTGAACTGCTGACCTTCTGATCGACAAGCTCAGAGTCTTAGCCACCGAGCCACCACATTTCTAGATAGGTTAATATTCCACCAGATAAAACTGCAATACTATTTTGGAGTCTTCTGGATTCTTGTCTCCTGACAGGTAGAAATCAGAACCAGAAGAACTTTTATACAAATACATCTTATATGCCAATTGTACCCATTCCTAGATTAAGAGGCACTGCTTATATTCACTCATGCCTTAGCTCAGTATTAGCAATGTGCTCTATATTGGGCTGTCTTTCAAGAGCATGTGGAAACTTCAGATTGTCCAGAATGAGTAAACTATGACACACCTGTGTAATAAGCTGCTTATATATCAACGATGGCGAATCTTTTTTGGCACGTGTGCCAAAAGCGGGGGGAGCACAGGGGGGTCGTGCATGGGTGTGCCACACCCATAATGCTATACGCACAACCCAAGGCTTTATAGGAGCCTGGGGAAGGCGAGAACAGCCTCCCCCGCCCCACCGGAGGCCCTTTGGAGGCTTCAGGAGCTTCCCTGAAGCCTCCGGAGTGTGAAAAACTGGCCCTACAGGCAAACTGGAAGTCGCTTCAGTTGGCTCGTAGGGTTGTTTTTTGCCCTCCAGAGCCTTCAGGGAAGCCTCCAGAAGCCTCTGGAGGGCTAAAACCAGCCCTACAAGCAAACCGGAAGTTCATTCCTAAACTTCCAGTTTGCCTGTAGGGCCACTTTTTCGCATTCCAGAGGCTTCTTGAAGCCTCTGAGGTGGTGAAAAATGGCCTCAAATTAAGGCTGAAGTCAGCTGGCCAGCGCGCACATGCACACTGGCCACCTGACAGAGTAACGCCTCGTGTGCCCTGACAAATGGCTCTGCGTGCCACCTGTGGCACGCATGCCATAGGTTCACCATCACAGTTATATATCATTCATGACACTGAAAGGAAAATCGGGTGTTAAAATAAGTAATTGCACAATTCCTTTTTCAATATTTGCTGAACAGGTTTGACAAGCAGCTCAGCGCTGGCGAGATGGTAACTTCCAAGAAGATTTATTGCAAAGATTATTTATTTATTGAATTTATTTGCCACCTATCTCGTAGCAAATGACTCCGGGCTGCTTAATCGTTGGAAAGAATATAATGTGGCCATTTCATATTACATTTCAAAGCTAATGGAGGAACATGTACCGTCTGATGACTATGAGATGATACAGCAAGGATAAGATTCCATGCTTAATTCCTTAGAAAAGTTCCAGTCCAGAAATACCAGTGGCCAAGGAATGTGGGGAGCTTATAAAATAACTCCTGTGAGAAGGTGAATGGCTCTGCAAACAACTTTCATTTTTCTCAGCTCTCTAATTATTGGTGCTGTAGAACCCTCTGCTGGAAATAGAAAGCCATGATGGAACGGGTCACTTTTTGACACACACACACACACACACACACACACACACACACACACACAGAGAGAGAGAGAGAGAGAGAGAGAGATCCAATTACTGCAGTAGCTTGGGGGGGGGGCACAAATGCTACCACTGCAACTTTCACTGTGAATTCTGGTAGACAGGGAAAAAAAGATGGGGGGGGGGCTTTTGCCTTCACTTGCAGAAGGAATTGATTTACATTCCAGCACACCTCATATCCTGAAACCCAAATCTGATCATTGATCAAATCACAGAAAGGACATTTAAGTCCTGGCATCACAATCTTTACAAAAATTTTTTTTATCACAATGGAAGTGTTTTCAAGGGACTTTTTCCAGTAAGGATCCTACTGTCAGCATTAAAGATGAATCCTGTTGATTTTTTTTCCCTTTTAAAAAAATGCGCATAGTTTGAAATTTCTGCCTACACGGGATGTCAGACAGTTCCCAACCATTTAAAAAATGCATGCAGATGATGAGGAAGGATGGGGGAGAAGGTTGCAAGTCACAAGCTCAAGTCAGCAAGGAGACAAAGGAATCAACTGAGGATGTTCCCTTCTAAACTCTTAATTTACTTAAGTATTTTAACTGTTACATTGATGAATGGAATCCAATCAGCCAAATTCCGAGAATGAAATGTGTAAGACCACTGATACCAAAGGATAGTAGCAGGATGGATACTGACTCCATCTCCAATCCTGAATTAAAAACTTGTCTTATGGGAAAACCCTACTATACTATTAACTATATATAACACTAGGCGATAACCCGGTGTTGCCCGGGTATTTATTTATAGGAGGGAAATGTCCGGACCAAACATTATTTCTAATGTTGGATTTTCCCCCTTACCTGGGGGAGCCCACTTTGTGGAGTACTGTGAAGCCGTTACCATGGCAACTCCACTGCGCTGTACAATAGAAGTCAGTATGGCAGTATGGCACAACAGGCTGTATCTTAACAGAACACACACACTGAGGTGTGTTAGGTAGAGGTGGGTTACTCCCGGTTTGGCCTGGATTGGGCGAACTGGTAGTGGCGATGACGGGAGCCTCCAACCACTCACCCAGATCCTTCTGCGCATGCGCAAACCAGTAGTAAAAAAAATGGAAACCCACCACTGGTGTTAGGGGTGTCTTACCCCCACAATAATTTTCTCCGGAGTGTAAATCATCTGAGTACCATGTCTGGTTGAAATTGCTCGAGATGTTCTAGAGTTATGCTGGAAAACACACACACACACATATATTGTGGTAAATCAATTTTACATTGATTCAGTGTACATTCAGTTTTTGCTTGATAAACGCCTTTAAGCAGGAGTCCCCGATCCATGGACTGGCACTGGTCTGCCACATGCCAGCAACCGGTCAATACAAACAAGCAAAGCCCCATCCACAGGATGCAGGCAGCACACGAAACCACCACCTCCCCAGTCCATGGAAAACTTCTCTCCACATAACCAGTCCCTGGTGCCACAAAAGTTGGGGGACACTGCTCTAAGCTATGGTAACATGTATCATTCTTTCTTCCTGCTAGCTTGAACCTTTCATCTCAGGATGCTTGGCTCTGGAACTCTTTCTCTTCTCAGGGGGAAGAAGGGCAAAACCAATCCAGAAATTTAACTATCCCAATTTTTTCCCCATTTCGGAACCATATGCATTACAAACTGCACCTTGTTCTGTGGCCGGAATTTTCCAGTGATGAAGTGTTCTTTTCCCACACATTGTCCAGTTGGCTATAGTACCTCATTTCTCTCTTTATAAATCCCTTTTTCACCCTTTGCATGAAAATGGATTATTTAAATTCTGCTTTTTAGGACAAACATTCTCTTTAACCTAATCCAAGCACTGTTAACATTTCCTTTGGGACTGAGTTTACGATTTTAGACACCTATTTTAAAATGGTATAGAGACCTCAAGATAACACCCACAGTTTCATTAAGTTGGTTTAGAATTGGATGCAGAGAATTGGATAGCGTAGATGCTTTATTGAAAATAAACTTTGGACCTTGCCAGTATAATTTACAAGACATGAAATCCTTTATGACGTGCATTTCAAAAGCACATTTGGAGGTTTAACAAAATGATTTGTTTTCCTTCAGCTTGCATATAATTTTTCTTCTTAATAACGATGCATTTAAAAAAAGAAAACACTGCATACATCCTTGGGATATCTATTTTCCTTTTGATAAACAGTTGGACAGAAGATTGCACAGCAGAAAGAATCAGAGAGAGAAAGCTAAAATGAAAAGTATAAGTTTTATAAGAAAGTATTGTTACAGGTGGCATGAAATAAAAGAATGATAAACTTTTGTTTAAAAATGGCATATTAATAGGGTGACCTGTATTGTGTAAGTCTTTTAACAAACAAGAACCATAGTGTGTTCTCTTCCATTATAAAAGGGGGCGAGCAGAGCTCCCTGTCTCACATAGTCATAGTCCGAATAAATAACACAAACGAATAGAGAGAGGAAAGAAGGGATGAAAACCTTGATATTTCTCTACCCAATAGAAGGCATCTTACATAGATATGCAA